CTTTAGTTTTCTCTGTACATTATGTTACTGAATAAACAATTTTATTAAACAATTTTATTAATTATAATTTCTTTATTTAAAAAAAACCAACCTCAAAAGTTCAGTGGAATTACATCCATTTGTCAAGTTTAATTGAAATCGGTCGGACAGTGCACGAAATCGAATTCATCCCTTAGTTTGCAACCCTCCCTTAGACGTGGAATATTTTCTTCAAGTTTAAATGGAACCAATACTGAGGTACCCACTTTCCAACAAAAAAGAATCATTGAAATCGGTTCACAAATGCCGGAGTAATCGCGTAACAAACATACAAAAAAATACAGTCGAAATGAGAACCTCCTCCTTTTTTTGAAGGCGGTTAAAAATAGCTTTTAATTTATTTTTGTTTTACCAACAAATGAAAAAAATACTTCGAATGTCATCAAACACTAACGAGACCGGGTGTAAAATTTTTTTTTTCTTTCCATAAAGGAAAACGCAAAGGTTTTACACCATACAGCCAAGTCTTGGTACATTATTAAGTCTTTTGAGCCATGTCTTCGTTTAATTATGTTTCTGTAAATATGGCCGCCACAAAGAGGATAGGCAATTTGAGGCGGCGTGCTTGGATTGACTCGGGATTCCTTAGAACGGGCAGATACGGGTATTTTAGTTCGAGATTCGTATAATTTCGCGTTTTAATCTTCGATTAAGCCATAATAGCACTATCCTATTCCACTTTAAACTAGATTTCACAAAATAATTGAAAGTCAAAATAAAAACGACACTTTTCCCTCCAAAACGCCCAGAGCGAATCGGGTGTAAAATAAACATACACTGACACGTGATTTCAATGCCCTTACAGCCCGCGTTAGATGTATTTATGGAGCTTGATAGACCGAAATTTATTTTCTGAATTTTTGCAAAAGTTTGTTAGCATGAGTATAAAAATTTGGTCCGACCTTGTAATGACCCGTTTTTCATAGATATGAATAATATATGTATAAGTATTCATCTTAATCACTAATATGAACTGCTTTTTGTTCCAGAATTACCTTTTAAACTAAGTACCTTTTTTACAACATGCGAAGTAAAAAAGCCGTCAAAGTTGTATGCTTGCAGCTCTTGTGCATCAATATTTCGAAATAACAGAGAGTTATTGGAACATCAAGAAGTAAGAGTAACCATCTAATCGTCTAACTTGAAAATTGTCTGGCATTCAGCTGCAGTATCCAGTGCTGTCATGTTGAAACTCAGTCTCTGTATTACAATTTAAGTAGTAGTGTCTTTTTTATAAATTTTCTAAAATATAAAGTAAATTTGAGTAAAGGTATGTCGATTTCGCGCGAAAAATTCAGAAATTAAACCATTGAAAAAAAAAATATCAGAAAATTATACTATTGTGGTTTCACTATGCACAAATTCTGGCAATATATTCCCGCAATTTATCGCGTTGCGCGATATGACCTTGAGTTGACCAATCAGGAGCTGCGACATTTTAACGCGCAATGCAATTTAAAGGCTTGTTTCAGCTAAGCTTTTTATCGAAAAACCCGGCAATATGAGCGACGACGAACTGTCACTGTCGTCTGTATGGCGGGATACTTTTTTTCGTTATAATTTGAATTGTTTTTTTGTGGAAGGAATTTTATTGGATTTAGCGGATTTTGCATTCTAATAAATACAATGCCAGAAATTAGATATACGAGTATTCACTAATAACAAACAAAAACTTTGTATTACTAACACATAAACACAAACAAAACTCACAAACGTCAAAAATACGAAGTCTCTCAACAACTATTGTGCATTCGCGATCAAATCACACTATGCGTTAAATTACCGCCTATTGTGCCTCATTTCTGTATTGTGAATCCACCCTCAGCCTGTCCCGAAGGATGCAAAATGTTACTATCACCTACTACTAAAATATTATCGTCGGTGGTGTGCTGAAATTTGAATGGAATATCTACAAACTTTTTGTTTACAGATTCATAGTTTGGAAAACAAATTGACCATCGACACGGACAAGATAGATTTGATGGATAAAACGAATATGAAACCGTATTACGTCATAAAGTCTAAGACAGGAACGCGGTATTCCTGTTTACAATGCCCGGTAAGTAAAAATAAGTACATAAAGTTTTTGAAGAAATAGCGCATTACAATAGACCATTACTAAAAATATTTTCATCACGTTCATAAACAATAAATATGTTAAAAACTAGGAGGTAAGTTTTTAGTATAAACTGGGTGGTAACGATTTAATATTTATTTCTACGTTCGCGCCGATGGGTGGAGACGCGGACAAATGTGGTCCGCGACCAAGGAGCAACTTCTTTATTTTGTTTATTAAAACTAACGTAAATATTGTCAGCTTTATGTAATTTATCATTCCTATGAGGTACTTACTCATAGATAGAGTAGAATACATTTTTTTTAACTGTCTCGCAAGTGCAAACGGTTTGAGTTATTAAAGCCGTTGCTTATGAATGTTTCTTTGCTCGTAATTGCCGACTTTTGCCCTTGTAACACAATGTACTATTATTGTTTCTACAGTACTTCGTTTCGCGCCAATAAAGCATAGATATAAAAAGGCTACTTGCCATTTTGTCTGGCACTTCAACATTTAAAATTCTATATATAATTCGAATTAATATTGGATTTTGCGAGTTCTTGTACAAGTATGCCCGTTTTTGGTCGGGGCACAAAGATATAAATAAACATATAAAATAATAATAAATAGTTAACCTATATATAGGCCCCACTGCTGGGCACAGGGCTGTAAAACTTCACACACACCATTAAATTTCTTTGCAGATGTGTACAGGTTTCCTTATGTTTTTGTTCGCCGCAAAGCTCGTAGTCAATTTTAAATTAAATTATTATGTTCACAAAAAATCTTTGATTTCAGATGCATTTCAACAAAATCACTAATTGCCAGAGGCATGTAAAGACACATCAACGATTGGCAAACAATAAAAAAGACAGTAAAGAACCAAAATCAAATAAGGTCAAGGAACACATTTATCAATGTTCATTGTGCCCTAGTTCATATCACCATCCTTCTTCTCTGACCAAACACTTCACAGGTGTCCATGTGAAAGCACAAGTTCAAAAAGAGTCTCGTTTCGAATATGTCAATGAATAAGAAGAGGTACATACCATATAGAATAATAGATTAAAGGCCAATTAGTAAATAAAAGTAACTTATTGTTTAAAAGTAATTTTATTTACAAAAATCAACCAACATTTTACTTAGCATTATTATTAAAATAACTCATCTGAGAACACGTCATCTAATCCATCTAGCAACTCACTTGCTTCATTCACTGATTCGTTATCAGCTGCTGATTTAGTTCCTGAAAATAACGGTGTAACTTTAATAAGTTAAATGTGTTTATTGAGATTTGTTATGATTATGAATACAAAAATCGAACACAGAAAAATTTTCGTCGACCCAGTGAGATTTGAACCCACGTTCATGCTGCACCCTAGCGTTCTCACCAAATGAGCTACGGGTCCAATTACCGAGCCGTCGAAATTCTCCTGTTTTTGTTATAGATCTTTGAACTGGCTTTCACTTGTGATACTTGTGATACTTGTAAAGGTGTCGGCTGCGGTGAGGTTATTAAAAAAAATCTCTCACTAGATGTCACTAGCGGCGACGAATGCCGAAAGCCAGTACAAAGATCTACAACAAAACACAGGAGAATTTTGACGGCTTGGTGCAGCATGAACGGGGGTTCAAATCCCATCGGGTCAACGAAAATTTTTTGTATGTTCGATTGTTGTATTTAAAAAGTTAATTGTGTTTGCACCACAAAGTGCTGTATTTGTCAACGTACAGCTGCTAATCCAAGTCGCCTTGCTCGAACCACTTCATTTAATTCTCGACCATATTCATATTTTTTTAAAACGAAAAATGGCAAAATAACATAATCGTTATTGGTGAAAATGAAATGGAATGTTTTGGTTTAAGTCTATCTATGATTCCTTTTTTACATCCAGTAATCTCTTATAACTATTTACTTATTCAGTATACTCTTTGAATAGATTTTGAATGAAGTCTGCCATAAAAACTTCTTTCGTCATATTTTAAATCCATCTGTGATTGGTCAATGAACAACAAAAAGACTATTTGAAATCTTCTTTTGTATTAGGCATGGTTCTCAAAATACTGATTACATATTTACATACCTAAACTTTGAGGAACATTTTCAATCTTGATAACCGTAAAATCCCCTTCATACACTTTCAAGTATCCATCAGGTAGAACAATATCCTCGTCCTTCAAGACAGCTGAGCTATAAATAGCATAAATATTACTCAATGTGATATTGAGATAGTGTTTCTTAAAAGCGCTGCCAGTTGTCAGGACTGTAGGCTTCCAAAGTACTAAGGCACAATACTCTGAAATTATGTATGGTGAAAATGTTGACCATGCATCTCTGTGGAGTGTGCATTTGATTGTACCTGAAAGGTAAAATATATTATGCTTTGTTAGAACATTATACATAGAAAAAGCGCAAACCTGCGCCGGGGGCGCATTGGAGTGGATCTTATGCCCGCCATCGCACACGGATGAGGGATATCCTTTACGACACAGGCAGAGCCCGCTGGAACGCCGAAGAAATCGCGGGCATAACACAAGTGTTCACCCACAAGTCGCTCGAATTAGATTCCGTTCCACTAGCAACTACCCAGTCGAAAAGTTCCTGGCGCATTCAGCGCCTCTGGCTGACTCTGACGCATACCGGTGGATTCCGGCGCATACCGGTGAGTTTCAGCGCGTGCCGGTGAATTCAGGCGCGTACCGTTGGATTCCGGTGCATACCAGTGGACTCCGCCGTGAACCGGTGGGTTCCGGCGCGTACCGTTGGATTCCGGCGCGTACCGGTGGATTCCGGCGCGTACCGGTGGATTCCGGCGCGTACCGGTGGATTCCGGCGCGTACCGGTGGATTCCGGGGCGCACCATTGGATTCCGGCGGATACTTTTAAAATGTTGTGTTTATTATCAAACTAAGTCATTCACAACCAATGAAATCTCAGCAACTAACAAGCATGTTACACAAAAATTGTACTGGGCTCTCGTTAATGCTTACAATTAACAGCCTAAAAAATACTTTTCATTACAGACCTGTAGAATCCCTCAAAATAATAAGAGGATCTGTGACTGATCTGTCGACAGTCTCAACAAAAGCCACAACAGTTTGCGCCTTCTGCTTCCATAGGTTACCATTCAGAGCTTGCTCCTTTATAGTTTTTATAGGATCTGTGTTACAGATATCCCAGGATCTAATATTGTCTAGTAGTCTGAACCATAGTGGAGACTCAAACAAATCTCTTCTAAGATTGTTTTGTGAAAATTCTATATCCTGAAATAAAATACAGGAAGAAATTAATTATACTGGCCTAATATAGTGTATGTGCAGCACCACATCGCTGTTGCGATCACCACTAATTACAACTCAGAACCATACCAAACGGAAATAAAGTACTTAATGCTTTTCCTGGCTTCGACAATTTTAATTTCATCTTGTTTGATTGTGAATCTCACTACATAGATCGACTGACTAGATAATTATGTTCAATGTGTACTTATTTACGTATACTGGCTGTGATAAAAAACTACGCAAAATTTATGTTTTCTAACACATTTTTAATTAATTGATTACAATTTTGTCCCCTTAAAAGTATTCAACCTCGAGATATGTATTTCTACCAGCGCTTTTTCCAATTGTTGATACTTTTCCGGAATGCAATTTTCAATATGGCATTCCTACAACTTCCTGTTTTTATCTCCTCAATATTCTTGATTCCACTTTTACCAAAATATCACCAACACATGTAACTTTTTCGACTGCCAGCAGCATAGTAATCTTTCAAGATGTCTACTCCTAACAACATACATTAGAGACATATGTTCCAATACACAGAAAAAAAAGTAACAATTGTAATTTTACAGCCTGTTAAATTTAAAAAAATTACATATTTTTTATCACACACCACATATTAACTATTTGGCACTTCTAACAAAGAGATTGATCTAATGTAGAATGTTATAATCTAAGCGTAGAATGTCAACAATAAAAAACCACATAAAGAAAAGGGCTAGTGTGACTTATTAACCAATCCTTTTTCCTTGGGACCCATACCCTTATGCCCTACCTTACAACTTGTCATCAAATTGTTTCAATAATTTAAGTGCTAACTAACATGGAAATGGTTGTAGGCCACCTTCGAGTGCTGCAGCCATGCCACTACTCATTTTCATACAATATTTAGAAGCGTGTTGCCACTGTTGTGACATGCGCATATTTAAAAAAAAAATACTATCAAGTGATGGGACGAACAAGTCGTGCGCCTGATGGTAAACTAGACACCTGTCCATAACAGTGCCACTCTTAACTTAAAATCGTAAAGATCTGAGGGGCACTGCCGCTGCGCCCGTCACCCTGAGACATAAATTGACAAGTCCCATGTGCCTGTAATTTCACCAGCACCCTGACTCTTCTAAACCGGAACGCAGTAATGCTAACATTACTGCTTGGCGGCAGAAACAGGTAAGGTGGCAGTACTTCCCTAGACGAATTCTTTCACAAGGAGCTCTACTGCTGCTGCAACCACAATGAGTGAACTAAAAATTACCAAAACACTACAGACGCACAGCAGTCGCACCATTGAAGCACTTCCACAAGCATCTAATTTGAAGGAGTCCGTATTGTAAATTTATAACTTAATAAATACCTGAGAGAGTAATTCTATATGACAATAATTTTCATCACTATTCTTCTCCAGATTTCCAGTGAGTAGTCCTGCAGGTCCAGGAAACTTTCGTTTCACTTGATGATCGAAGTGGGAGTTTATAATCTTCCTTTTACTATGCTTTGGTGACACAAACACATTATCCTTCAGAGTTTTGCTACTTAATACTCTATCTGATATAGCAGAAAGGTTTATTTCGTTTGATGCATTTTGAGCTATGTTTGGTTCCTCATCATTTTGGATAATGCCATCCACAGAGGAAAAAGAAGTATTTCTTTTGCTGATGTCTTTATTATGATGAGTTTTTTGTGTATTTGCACTTTCTGTGTCCTTTAATGGTAGCTCAGGACAATCAAACTGAGACAGCACCTGAAACCATGGCCATTCCCAATTTACAGTATTTTAGTACTGACAACATTTAATAAAAACATGGGGTTGTTACTCCAGTGTATGCTCGTACCTATAGTGATGTAATAAAGTAATGAAAGTAGGAAAGAAATATACTAATTACTTTTTAATATCGCTAAAAATAAATTATACCAAGGGAAAGGTTGTACAAGTTGTGAGCTTGGTGGTAAGCGCCTGTCCATAGCAGTTCCAGTGCCACTCAGAGCTTTAAATCACAAAGATCTGAGAGGCACTGCCATTGCACCCATCAACTTGAGACAAGTTGACAAGTTTAATGTGCCTGTATTTTCACCTAAAATAAACATGACAAAACAAAGTATGTCAAGTAGTATGGTGTAACAGGCAGTTGTCAGCAACTCAATGTCCAATGTGAAGTTAGTAATAAGTATTATAAGTACCTAAGCATTGTTGGTAAACAAAATATGACAGCAGACAAGTACAAAAGCATGAAAAAAGTACTTTAGCCAACACCATCACGTTTGTATAAAGTGTAGTACTAATGCCTATATAATAATGGTTTTTTCATTGCCATATTGCCAATTGAAAGTTTAAAAGAAATACAGAAACTATGTAGATAAAAGTAGCGTGCGAATTAAGGTACCTGATCAAAATCGTCCGATTCAAACATTCTTTTTGCAGAATTAATAAGACCTCATTTAAATTAAACACGATACTGCAAGTAATATAAAATTTATTGCGAAAGTGCAATATGCAATACATACATACAGTGCTTCAAATTTTAAGAATCATGAAAACCACATGAAAACCAATTACTACTTTGTGATGGAAAGACAAATTTCATTTTTTCAAGTTCAATAGCTGGCTGTCATTGTCAAAGTGTCAAACCAAATGTCAAAAATACAAAATTACTTTTTTCTAAGTTAATGACTTATGCCAACTTTAAGCCAACGTCATAGTAAAGAGCTAGGAAGCGGACGAGACGAAAACCAAACAGGAAAGAGAAGAGCTAATATTGGAAGAAATTAATATAAAATAATAGGGGTTAAAGTATGAAATTGCCGATTTGTACTGAAAATCTAAATTGTTTATTTTTTAAATTTTTAACAAATTTATTTAATCAAAATAGTTGCCATTATTATCTATACATTGCTGCCATCTAATGGGAAGGTTATTAATGCCTTTGCGATAGAACTCCGACGATCTAGACTGCACAAACTGTGTGAAAGCATTTTGTACTGCCTCCTGGGAAGAAAACTTCTTGTCACGTAGATAATTGTCCAAATCACGAAAAAAATGGTAGTCCGTTGGAGCAAGGTCTGGTGAATACGGAGGATGACGAATGGTTTCTAACTGCAGTTCCTGAAGGGTCAAAATAGTTTCTCGTGCTGTGTGAGGTCTCGCGTTGTCGTGGAGCAATAATGGTGAAGATCGATTCATGAGTCGGGGCTGTTTTACTGCTAGTTTTGTCAACATGGTTCGGAGTTCGGCACAATAGACATCTGCCGTTATTACTTGACCAGATCGGAGAAAACTATAGTGAATAACACCATGCTGAGACCACCAAACAGTTACCATTACCTTTTTATTGGTAAGTTTTGCTTTAGGACACTGTTGTGGCATTTGACCTGGGGTCAGCCATTGCATTTTTCTTTTCCGGTTATCATAAAGAATCCACTTTTCATCACATGTTACAATTCGATCCAATATTCCTTCATTTCTGTACCGGTTCAACAAGGCAACACAAGTTTCAACACGCGTTTCTTTCTGCAGATCAGTCAAATCATGAGGCACCCATTTTTCGTATTTTTTTATTTTATTGATTTGACGCAAGTGAGTCAATATTGTGGGTAAGGTAACGTTAAACCATGCCGCTAATTCCTGGGTAGTTTGACTAGGATCGGCTTCCACTATCTCTCTTAATTCATCGTTATTCACCTGTGTGGGCGGTCTTCCTCGTGGCTCGTTCTTTAAGTCGAAATTTCCATCACGAAAGCGTTTAAACCAAAATCGCACGGTGCGTTCATTAGTAGACCCCTCTCCAAACGCAGCATTGATATTGCGGGCTGTTTCTGCCGCGTTAGTTCCGCGTCGGAACTCGTATTCAAAAATCACTCGAATTTTCGCAGTATCCATCTTTCTTGTCTAAATTGAATACCAAAAACAATTGAAAGTCGATATTCAAATGTTTCAAATTAAAAAAAAAAAAAATCACAGAAACCATTTGAAAAAAGTTTCATTCGAAAACCTCAAACCATGAAGATTCTATGAAAATTCAAAGAACCTATTGCAATAAAACGGCAATTTCATACTTTAACCCCTAATATATTACGATAAAAAAATATATACACCAAACAGATGGGTATAGATAAAATTTTATTATAATTACAGCATTGGCTTTAAGGGAGTCACAACACTCATCAAAGTGGAATAGGCTTGAGGTGTTCATGCTTAACCACACTTGTAGTGGACGTGGCCGTTTAGGTATCGACGTGGCCACTCAGGCGTTTGAGGCTCCATTGAGCCTCGGATTGGGAGCTATGAAAATTAAGTATGGCCTTGGCAACGTTATTCGGGTGTCAAAACGGCCATTCAGATATTGACATGACCATGGACGTGTTTGTGTTGAGCCGCGTCGTACAAGCCGATGCGAAACGCACAACCTCGTTTTCACTCATGTTACATTGACATGAAAACTTTTTCTGTCGGTCTTAATACGATTCCGTGTCAATAAGTGTGATTACCATAGATATAGAAAAAAAGGGGAGATATCGTAGAGGGGCTCTATAAATAATAAAAACCGTATAATCGAGATACATTTATGCACAGACATATCAGAGTAAAAGTAAAACAATATTATTTTTTGTCCTTTTCTACGTATGCGGTTTTGGTTGTATGACTCAACGCTCGTTGAGTCCAGCAAATCCATCAGAGTGTTTGATGTGCATCAGAGTGTTTGATGTGTCGATTTTATGTGTTTGTGCTTTTAAGAAGTGTTTTACAAAGTTACTAACCGTTCCTTTGTAGTTGTGTATTGACAATTATTGCAGTTCACAATAATGGTGCATATTTTAGACTGTAAAAGCCGTAGTACGGAACGAAAAATTCCCAACATAACCTTTCACACGTAAGCTTTAATTTTTCATTACAATCAATGATTTTTCTTGTATGAATTACTAGTGAAATATTCTTACAAGCCTGGAATATTACGATTTCATGTATTTTAGATGATATTTGAAGAGTTTTTCTTCATTGAAAGATTTTTGTTTGCATAAACCTCCTAAAATAAGGAGAATATCTTAGTATTGTCAAATATGTTCATCTCGCTTGTACCAGCAGTGGTTACGATACGCGAGAAAGAGAGATCAAATAAATAACGTATAAATTAAACAGGCTAAGCTGATTTTAGGGATACCGTGCTTTTGCCACTATCTTTTCCCCAATTTATGGGTCATTTTAAATATTGTATTTTTTTACTTTTCAATACTTTTTCAGTTCGAAATATGTATACTAAGTTAATACTGTTCAAGAGCCAATAAAAAAGTAATGATTTGTCATAATTGTTTTATTTGGTTACTAACACTCAACCAAGCTAAATGTGGTTTGGCGGATTCTCCCTCCTTAGACTCTGCAGATTTCATCATTATCATGAACCCATTTATACGTCCCACTGCTGGACACGGATCTCCTCTCAGGCGAGTGCTTAGGCGACAGTCCACCACACTGGCCCAATGAGGGTTGGGGACTGCACACGTTTTCCGAGGACTTTGAACCTTTTTCAACGTTTCATCACGATGTTTTCCTTCACCGAAAAGTTCATGATAAATTTCAAATTAAATTTCGCACATATTCCGAGAAACTCAGAGGTGCGAGTCTGGATTCGAACCCACGACCTTCTGCTTGAGAGGCAGTAGGTCAAACCATTAGGCTACCACGGCTTCATTTTCATTTCAATTTCTTTAACGGGGTAAAATTTTAAAAGTAGACAAATCAGAATTTATAAACTACTCTGTTGGTATCCCTTTTCAGAATACGCGAGAAGCTTCCCTATTCTTTTTTTTATTCTCCCTCTACTTAAATTCAAACTTTACGCTCTATTATCTACTACCATAGCTTATAGATTTTGATTGGGAAAGCCTTAAAACGTGAAAACGACGTAACACAATTTTAAAATGTAATAAACTTAAACTTACAGTCACTTCAGTAAGTTATACGAGGGTCAAACTGAAAGTTCTTAGAACTGGCCACTTATAAACAATATAATAAAAAAATAATTCTTAAATTTGAAAATAGAACTCTTTGCCAATATTACTGAGTATATATTTCATTCAGTTGTCATTTGTTTTACGATTTGGCGGCAAATTGAAAATTGTCTGTGTCACGTCAACATGAATTTAACACGAGAAAATTTTCGTGCAATGATTTTTTATGACTTTCGATGTCATTTAAGTCAACAAGAAAGTTATGATAGACTACGATTGGCCTTTCACGATGAAGCCCCATCTCGTGCGACTGTTTACAACTGGTTTAATGAGTTTAAACGTGGTCGCACTAATCTCACTGATGATTTACGTGAGGGACGGCCTTCTATGGCGACGACTGAAGATAACATCTGTGTTGTGCGGCGTATGATAGAGACTGACAAAAGAGTGACCTATCAGCAGATTCGGACAAGCTTAGGCATCGGTATGAGTCAAGTGCACAAAATCCTCCACGAACATTTAGCGGTCAGGAAGCTTTGCGCCCGGTGGATACCTCATAATTTGACTGAGGCTCAAAAACTCCATCGTGTGGATTGGTGCCGTAAAATGATTGAAAGATTTAACGGAGGTGACTCAAATGCTGTGTTCGACATACTAACAGGTGACGAAAGCTGGATTTACTGTTATGATCCTGAAACCAAAAGACAATCTGCTCAGTGGGTGTTTCCTATCGAGGAGTTGCCAACTAAAGTGAAGAGAGATCGAAGTGCGGGAAAAAAAATGGTGGCCTCGTTCTTTGGAAGGATAGGTCATTTCGCAACAATTGTGTTAGAGGATCAAAAAACAGTTTCTGCAGAATGGTACACTACCAATTGTTTGCCACTTGTCTTGGAAAAAGTTCGAGAGAAACGACCTCGCAGTAGGATCCTCCTTCACCACGACAACGCCTCGTCGCACACCGCCAAGCGAACGATCGACTATTTGGCGACATCAAACGTTGAATTATTGGGTCACCCGCCGTATAGCCCCGACCTCGCGCCTTGTGATTTTTATTTATTTTCAAAAATTAAAGAAAAACTTAAAGGAAAGCGGTTTATGAATGCTGAAGAAGCGGTGGCTGCGTATCGCGATGCCATTGAAGAGACCCCTAAGGACGAGTGGGCAAAGTGCTTTTCCCAGTGGTTCCATCGCATGCAGCGGTGTATTGACGTAAATGGACAATATTTTGAAAAGATATAATAAAACTAATAACTGGCTAATGTAATCAGTTTTTAATTTTCTAAGAGCTTTCAGTTTGACCCTCGTATTACAAAATTTCAGTATTTTTTTTCATCCTCATCAGGTGGCGATTTAGTAAAAATGCTACTAGTATATAATAGCTAACTATTACACGTTAGATGGCACTGAAACTCATTTTCTGTACACTAAAAACTCACGGAGCGGTTTTCACCCGCGTCTGCCGCGGGACCGCGGCATCTGTAGAATGTAATAGTTAAGCATGTAAAATTAATAGCACATTTCAAGGCGCGTTTTACGCCTTTAGTGGTCACGGTTGCTCGCGGTTGCCTGGCGGGGTACTAGTAGAACCGCACAGGACGCGATCACTTGCGCGCTTGGCGGCCGTCGCGTCGTCGCCCGCGCACTTTGGCGGTCGGTTCAAGCGCAATGTGGTGCAGGCGCAAGCGGGGTGAGTTCTCTATTAACCGCGCTAATTGCGATTAACTCCCACTAACTTCGCGGTCCGCTCCGCAATCGCAACGGTTTCGTGCCCGCAACCGCGGCGACTACGTGCTTGCACAAACTTGCAAGGCCGTGAATATTGAAATAAAACCGCTGTCTAGGCGGCACCGGCGGCGGGCGCGGATGTAAACCGCTCCGTGAATTGTTAACCTTATTAACCTTAAACTGACGCTACTCAACGAGGGATGTGATCCTACCTAATCGATAGTTAGAAACCGTGTGGCTGTTTTTAATATTAATAAAAATATTCCATTTTTCATACTAAATCAACACTGGTGTATTATTAAATTAATGTATTAATATAAATTATTATTATCTTTCTAATGGCGGCCACTAGGCTTGGACCAGTGTCAGTTTTATAAGAATAATATAAAAAATATGGCGAACGTCGCCATTGTCCATTTTCCATTATACGTTACCACGGGTTGGTGAAGACAGCTTCACCAAACTAAAGACTAAAGTATTAAAATCACATGCAGAGGAACTTGGTTGACTGTGTGGTAAACAATATTGCAATAGTATACGTGATTACAGTGTTCAATTTTTGAAACTTAGATTCTCAACGGACATTTAAATTGGTGTTAAAGGAAGTTGAACTTTGGACCATACCTATAATAAGAACATTCCGAGTTACGCCATCTAGTGAACACTGACTAAAATAATCTACGAAATCAATAGTGTCCTAGTACTGCTACTACCTCATAGATGGCAGAACAGTAGATGCCATCTAGTGACGAATATCTGTATTACTATTAGTACAATAAACGACCACCCGAAGCAGCACTGGTTGTATTTAAATTATTCTAAAACATCTAGTACAAGAAGTTACCAACAAAGGCAGCACCTGTCACATACTTCTCCAAAATGGCTACATTATGTGCTAAATGTAGCGAATTAATTATCAAGGACCCTAAGCTCACTTGCAAACATTGCGATGAACAATATCACCTACACTGTACCACCGTCTCTGAATTGAGATACCTTAACACACTAACAGGTGCGCACAGAGAAAACTGGAAATGCGAAAAATGCGTCGAGCAAAGTAATAATATCACCCTCCGCAATATCCAAACAGTTATCAACGTCTCCACAGACAACTCATTCGCATCACTGTCAATAGAATCAGACGATGAGGAAAAATGGGAAGACTCTCTACCTGCAGAGACAACGGAATTAAACCAAAGCTGTCCTGAAATGCGAACTTTGGGTTGTATTACGGAGTTAAGGCTACTAAAAGATAAATTGGCTGAATTGCAACTTAAACTACAGGGAGCAGAGCAGGAAATAGATAATTTATTAGGGGAAAATTGTTCATTAAAAGAAATAATTGACAAAAAAGATTCTAAAATAAAACATCTGCAAAGTCTATTCAAGTCGACACCAATAGGCACGCCAAATTCGGGAAGAAATGCGAAAAGAAGGTTAACTATTAATACAAATAAGGTAGAGCATATAAAAAAATCTTTAGAAATGGATTCAACAATGAATAAACAAAATGATAACATTGAAGTCAATAAAAGCATTGAAGCTAGATATTTCCTATCTCCTGAACCTACAAAGGCACAAAAAGAAAGACAAAGGCCTTCTAGACCCTCAAAACTATGTATGTATATTAAGTACAAAAAGGAAACACCGTATACTTAACTTTGTAGTTAAAAACTTCCAAAGCAAACAAATATGTCACTACCTCACTTCGGAAGTTGGAATTGTGCAGCTTCTAAATAGACTAGAACACAAAATAAAAAACTTCACTTTGGATGACTACTGTGTTATATTTATAGGCCATAACGACTTTTATAAAACTCAACAGTACTGTAAAATAGTAGAACATATGAGAAATATTTTACAAAGACTACAACATACTAATATAATTTTATGTTTACCTACTTATAAATTCGGAAACAATGTTTTAATGAACCATAGAATAGAACTATTTAAAAATTTTTATATTTTGACAACTGTACTCATGCATACGCTTATATCTTTGACTCCAACTCATGTCTAGAATATGACAAATCAATGTTTAATTTAATGACTGGCCATGTAAATAAATATGGTATACAAATTATTCTTAATTATTTATATGAATATATCGAAAATTGGAGCTATGATACAGATCTACAAGATGGGGACGAGCTTTTTCGTCAATAACATAGATAAACGTAAAGTTCACCAACATTATAACGATTTAGGTGATGACAATTTGTTAATTTTGAATCAAAACATTGCAGGACTTTGTAATAAATTAGATTTATTGGATGTGACGCTTAGGGAATTTAAAGATATAGGTAAAGAGGTTGACATAATATGTTTTTGTGAAACGTTTGTACCAAAAGGCACAGAATGTAATATAAAGCTGAATAATTTCAAGCGAGCAGCATCTTTCTGTCGTAGGAATAGTAGAGGCGGGACGTGCATTCTTATACAGAAATTGCTGGATTACAGGCCTATACCTTTTATAGAAACACTTGCCTGCGCATTCTATTTTGAATGTTGTGCTGTAGAGATTGTAGGTACAGGGCTTATTATAGTTAATATATATCGAATCCCTGAGCAATCAAAAGCGCATATCGGTATATTCTTACATAAACTTAATTTGCTATTGACCTATCTTACCGAAAAATTCAAAAAGGCAAAGATTGTAATATGTGGAGATTGGAACATCGATGTCTTGAAACAAAATTTAGCAGCCAAAGATCTTA